TTGATAAAAACACTCAATAAACTTAGAAGGAAACTACTTCACTATACTATTGGCTGTTTATAAAAAGCCAATATTTCACTTCATACTCAATGGTGAACTGAAAGTTTTCCCTCTAAGATCAGGAAGAAGACAAGAATGATGGCTTTTGCCACTTCTATTCAACAAAGCACTTGTTCCAATCAGAACAACTAAGCAAGAAAAAGAAAACAAGGGCATCCAAATTGGAAAGGAAAAAGTAAAATTATCTCTGCAGACAACATAATCTTATATGTAGAAAACCCTAACGATTCCATTTTTTTAAACCATTAAAACTAATCAGTGAGGGGGCACCTGGGTGGCTCAGTCATTAAGCATCTGCCTTCGGCTCAGGTCATGATCCCAGGGTCCTGGGATCGAGCCCCACATCGGGCTCCCTGCTCAGCGGGCAGCCTGCTTCTCCCTCTCCCTGCTTGTATTCCCTCTCACTCTCTCTCTCTCTGTCAAATAAATAAAATCTTAAAAAAAAAACTAATCAATGAATTCAGCAAAGTTGCAGGATACAAAAATCAACATATAAAAATCAGTTGTGTTTACATGGACTAAAATCAAACAATCCATAAAAGGAAATTAAGAAAACAATTCCATTTACAATAGCATCAAGAAGAATAAAATACTTCAGAGTAAAATTAACCAAGGAGGTAAAAGATTTATACACTAGAAACTGCAAAACATTGCTGAAAGAAATTAAAGGCAACACAAATAAATTGAAAGACATCCTGTGTTCATAGATTGGGAAGCTTAATGTTCTTAGGATATCAAAACTACCCAAAGCAATATACAGATTTAATGCAATCCCTATCAGAATCCCAATGGAATTTTTTGAAGAAATAGAAAAATTCATCTTAAAATTCATGTGGAAACTCAAGAGATCCTGAATAGCCGAAGTGATCTTGAAAAAAGAAGAACAAAGTTGGAGACCTCACACTTCTGGTTCCAAAACATTATGCAAAGCTGCAGGAATCAAAACAGCAAGCCGGCATGAAGACAGGCATAAAGGACAGTGGAATAGAATAAAAAGCCCTGAAATAAACCCTCACATAGACAGTCAAACGGTCTTCAACAAGCGTGCCAAGACCATTCATGGGGAAAGGACAGTCTCTACAAGAAATGGTTTTGGGAAAACTGGATACCCACATGCAAAAGAATGAAATTGGACCCTTATCTTACACCACATATGAGAACTAACTCAAAATGTATCAAAGATCTAAACATGAGTTAAAGCTATAAAACTCTCAGGAAAAAAAAACATAGAAGAAAATCTTCCTGACATTAGAATTGTCAATGATTTCTTGGACATAGCACCAAAAACACAGGCAACAAAAGAAAAAAATGGATGACAGCAAAATTTAAAACTTCCGTGCATCAAAGAACACAATCAACAGAGTAGAAAGGCAACCTACAGAATGGGAGAAAATATTTGTGAATCATTTTGGGGTTCATATCCAGAATATGTAAGGAACTCCTACAATTCAACAACAACAAAAAATCAAACAACCCAATTTAAAAATGGACAAAGGACTTGACTAGATATTTCTCCAAGGAGGGTATAAAAATAGCCAAGAAGCATATAAAAAGACGTTCCATATCACTAAGAATTAGAGAAATGCAAATCAAAACCACAATGAGATATCACCTCCTACCACTTAGGTTGACTACTATCAAAAAAAAAAAAAACAGGTGTTGATGAGGATTTAGAGAAATTGGAATCCTTGTGTGCTATTGATGAGAATGTAAAATGGTGCAGCCACTATGGTGAACAGCATGATGGTTACATAAAAAATTAAAAATAGAATCACCGTATGACCCAGCAACTCTGCTTCTCGCTGTATACCAATGAACTGAAAGCAGGATCTCAAAGAGATATTTGCAAACCCATGTTCACAGCAACATTATCTACAACAGTGAAGACGTGAAAGCAACCCAAGTGTTCATCAAAGGATGAGGGATAAATAAAAATGTGGTCTATCCACACGATGGAATATTATTCAGCCTTAAAAAGGAAGAAATTCTATCACATGCTACAATGTGGATGAACCTTGAGGATATTATGCCAAGTGAAATAAGCCAGACGCAGAAGGACAAATACTGTATGATTCCACTTATACGAGGTACTTAGAGTTGTCACATCCATAGAGTCGGAAAGTAGAAGGGTGGGTTCCAGGGCTGGGTGAAGCCGGGAATGAGGGATTGTTTCAGTTTTGCAAGATGAAAAAAAAAAACTGGATGTGACTATGTGAATATATTTAACAGCCCTGAACTGTACATTTTAATGGTTAACATGGTAAATTTTAAATTATGTGTACTTTACCACATTTCAGAATTACTTTCAGAAAGGTCGTCTTACCACTGTTCAGCTCTAACACCGAAGGCGGGTCATGCTGTTGTCCCAGGATAGGGTCATTACCTGGAATTCTGCTCATGACAGCAGACCGTTGCTCTCATCTTTCTTTTTTTTTTTTAATTTTATTTATTTATTTGAGAGGGAGTGCATACAAGCAGGGGGAGGAGCAGAAGAAGAGGGAGCAGACTCCCCGCTGAGCAGGGAGCCCGATGCGGGTCTCTATCCCAGGACCCTGGGATCATGACCTGAGCCGAAGGCAGACACTTAACTGACTGAGCCACCCAGGTGCCCCTCTCACCTTTCTAAGACACAGCTGAGCTTTTCTTTTTCTGCAGGTTTTCTGTGATGGACAGGACGATGGGTGGGTGGGTGTGGGTGTGTGTGTGTGTGTGTGTGTGTGTGTGTGTGTGTTGCATTCAGCAAACTGTAGAGTTCCATCCAGTGTGTGTGTGTGTGTGTGTGT